TTAAGAAAATTTAAAAATTTTAAAATTTATAACCTTTAAATGCAGATTTGTTAAACTAATAGAAACTAGCATGGCAAAATTTCCCGATTGGAAATTAATGAATTTTTGGCTTAGTTAAAATCGATTTTCACTGCAAGGATATATCAATTTTCGGTTCCCTAAATTAGCTTCAATTCCCGGGTTCTGATCATTCTACGTTTTAAAACCTCCTCAGAATATTTTAATTCTTTTCGGTTTAATATATATCGCAAGTCCTTCAATTAAAGGACACTTTAAGCTACCGGAAACGGAAAGCAAAGGTGAAACAATACAGGAAATACAGGGGTTGCCGAACCTGATGTATTACCAATACGAAAACCAAATTAAATAGTAAAAAACCTCCCATATCGAGTTGATCCTTGGAAAACTCTTCAAGTAGTGTCGACCTTTGGGTTGCCCTTTTTTTTATGTATTTCCTCGGTGTCTGACTAACTGACGGAATGACTGAGTTACTAACCGACTGAATGACTAACTGACTCAATGACTGAGCTGACTGGCTGACTGGCCGGACTGGCTGCTTCCGCTTTTTACGTTCATTGCCTCTGCCACAATTTTAATTTTCCTAATGGATATCGATCCCGGGGAGTCCTCGTCGCAGCAACAGCAACAGCAGCAGCGGCAACAACAGCAACAAAACTGGCTGGCAAAAAGGATAATAGACTTCTTTATTGTGCATGCGACTCTATAAAAGTCAACTCCTGGACTTTGTTGTGCTCCTCTCGCTCCCGTTTTCCCCTCACTTCCTGCCTTCCGCTCCTGTTGTGTTCCGTTGCTCATGCGAAAATTCAAGGGGGGGTTGAGAGGCGGGGTGGGGTTGGGTAGTGTGGGTTTTGGGACACACAACAAACCAGGCCAGACACACACAAATACACACACCTTGATGCAGGTGAAGAAATACCAATGATTTAAGGGATTATTTATCGAAAAGAAAAGTCTGATATCACATCGAATTTAAAGTTTAAATATCAATATTGAAGAGTATCTAAACATGTTATTTAATTTATTATTTTTAAATATTATTAGATCTCAAAACTCCCTATGATTTTTTCTCTGTGCACACAAATACAATCATAGAACTGAGGACTCTGCATAAATACTTAAGCAACAACCTCACACAATAAATAATCTGCTACGTCATGCAAAAGAGGGAAACTCCAATGGCGAAGTCCTTTTCGAATAATCGAGGAGAAGAGCGAGGAGGAGGTTCCAAAGAGTTGGCAGACATTGGAAATTGGATTTCACCCGAGCTTAGATCCCCTTTTATTCCCCAAGCCCCAATCCTCAACCCAAACCCCATCTATTTCCACTTGCCGTGTAATCCAACCGCAACTACACATGGCAGCGTTTATTTCGAATTTCATTTAACATCTGCCCCGGATCCGCCAAGAGTGCGAAAATTAAATGAGCCACAAGTCGGGGTAGCTAGATTTCCACACCTCTCTGTTTGTGTAGGTGTTTTCCCCTTAGTTTTCCTCGCCTCTATTTGCATACATTTTCTATTTCGACTTCTTTTTTTTTGCAAAAACGATGCTGATTTAGGAGGCAACAAAAACAGCAGCAGATTGAATATTGCCATTTGTGTTTATATTTGCATTTCAGTTTGGCTTAAAAAAAAAAGAAGGAAAAACAGGAAAATGAAAAGGCAACCTTTGCACAGATGAAACTGGAATATTTGTTGCGGAGGGAAAAACGAAAGTGAAACTCAAGAACGGTTCGATGTTACCTAATAAGGGTCAATGAATACTTGGGTATTAGGTTATTTTTTAAGCAGAAAAAGATTTAAATATTTATTTAACCTCAAAAAGCTAAATAGGTATAATATGTTCTTTATTAGACTCTATAGGCAATATATTTTTATAGAAAGATATATCCGTATTTCAAGCTTGAATAATACCAAAATAAATATTCAAAATTTCTGTTCTATTCAAAGAATAAATTACTTTTAAAATTACTTGACTCGAAAGAAATAATTTAGTAACTTAATTAAACAAGCTAATAAATTCATTTAACAAGATTTCATCTATAATAATAAATAAATAACCAGAATTAGCATTTATTTAAGCTAAAACCATTTCGAGCTTAAATAATATATTTAAATATATGATGACATTTTTATAATCCAGCTTTGACCAATCAAGAAAATGTCATGCATTCATAAATTCAGAATTATACTTAAGATTACATAGAGTTTTTAGAGTTATAATCTATATTTTATAATTGTTTATTAAACCTTTTAGTAAAGAAAATATTCCAGTCATATGAAGTATATTTATAAACTATAAATTAACCATTAGACCTTCCAGAATATAGAATCTATTTTAATACTATTGATTTTCATAATGCCTATAATTACATGACTAGTTCGATACCAATTTTCCTTAGTTTCTGGCCCACAATTACTGACCAAGTTCTAGCTGGCAATTAAAGCCCTGAAGAGCTCAACAGTTAGTGCTGTCTGTCCGTCAGTTAAGATGGAAAACTACATTAAACCATTTGCTGGGAAACGAAACAAAACACAATTAACACCCCTCTCCTATCCTCTCCTCCCCTCTCCATTACTCTCGTTCAATTTCAATTATTGAAACTATTTCAACCAAAATCGAGTTGAAACCTAGTTATTCTGCCGTTGAATATCCTGCGAATATCGATGTGACTGTGACTGCGACTGTGACTGTGACTCTGCTTGAGTGACATTCGTCCTAATTCGTAAGCGTTGACTTTTACCGGCATTTCAATTAACCCAATTAATGGACGGGACCTAATTAAATTTTGAATTCATGTTGCCAGTAAACGCACACACACACACACACACACATAAAGCTGCAGAGCCACGCACACAGATACTCCGCAGTCAGCTGTTTCTGCTGGCCAGCTGTCCTTCGCTCCGTCTCTTTCGCTTCGCACAAGTGCGAGCGAGATGACGCCTAGCTTTTGGGGTTGATAGCGACGGCGGTACCATCGCTGGGTTAACATGGGGGGGGGGCTGCAGTGGGTTAATGGGGGTGGATGGTGGGTGGTGGGTGGTGCTGCTGTAACAAGTAACAAGTATGTACTAATGTCGGCGTCTGGCTAACTGAGAGACACGGCGCGGCGGCGGCTATGAATGAGTGTCCCGAACGGAGCCAAGCTGAAACTGAAGCTCGATGACCTTGATTATACAACACAGTAGCTACAGTAGCAAAAGCAACAGTAACTGTAACTGGAAACCATCACCCAACACCACCCCAAAAAAAAAAAAAAATCCCCACGGAGCCACTCCTTCAAAAGAATACCCTACGTCAAATAAAAATGGCAAAATAGTGAAGGGGGGTTCCAAGAGGCACTCGGGAAAAATATTAATACAAGTTATTTGAAATGATTTGAGAGAAATTTGGAGAAAAAAATTATTAAAATACATATAATTGTTAGTAAATAAGGAATTATCTATTACCTTTATAGATCCCAAGTAGTTCCAACATAGCTTCGGTTAAATATAAATTTAAGTTAAAGTGACTATAGTTTTCAAGTAGTTTACGCGTAGTTTTAAAATAAAATTCAGTTAAAATTATGTGAAACCCAATTAAGAATCAAAATAAGAGGAAAACTGAATTTAAATTAAATAAAGATTTATAGTTAATAATGTAAGAAAGACAATATTTAGCCCTACAACTGTTAGCACCAGTTTAAGCAAGTTCTTTGTCAATAATTCCCAAGCAGTTCTAGCATATTTTTAGTGAAACTTAAGGTTATTTTCCTTTTCATTTTAAGCAGAAATTAATCATATTCTGTAGCTTAAATGTACATGTTTAAATTAATATTATTCAATTGCTTAATTTTCCAAAACCTAATCAATTTTCTAACAGTGTCATCCCCAGAGTTGTCGATGCTACTGGTAACTGGCATTACAACAAATCATCGGCGGGCAAATGTTGGCAACTGGGTGCCAAGTCAACGAACTGCTAACCGCAACACTGACACGTACACACACACACACACACACACACACCACACCACACACCATATATATATATATATATGTAATGCCACAAAAGGGGGTCCTGTGGGCGTGGGCGTCATTAAAATTGCAACAGGGCCTTGAAGCCAGAGACCAGAGAAACCAAGAAGAGCAGAGGAAAACAGCAAGGGGCGGGGGAAAGAGAAAACCAAAAGACAAAATCAAGAGATCAATAATTATTATGATGTTGCACAAGCACACACCCAAAAAACGAGACGCCTTGCAAGCCGCAAGAACCGAATTCTTTGGGCCAAGTCAAGACAGGTGAGGCCAGGCAACGAGCGAGGGTGCGAGGGTGCGAGGGGGTGAGCGGGTGAGTTTTCCCAGCCGAAAATTTCGACAAGCGCATTACAACAATTCCAAAACAAGGCAAGGCGAAAAAGGGGTCAGAGCGGCGGTTACAAGTGCAACCATTTTGTAGTACAAACTTCGAAAACCAAAAGCGAAATTGGCAAAACAAAAGGCCAAAAAGGGTGGCAGTGGTAGGTCCTAGGAGTACCTCCATTTGTGGACTTTGTGGATCCCTTGGTCTCTCTCTCTCTCGCTCTCTCTCTCTTTTTTGGGGCTCCCCCGGATCATGCGCACTCCGCCGAACCGATTGGCCCGCTTCGCCGCCATTTAGAAAAGGCCCGTTGCCGCCGTGCGGGAAAGAGACCGCCTGAGCGGGCCAATGCCAACACCTGTTCCTGTTTCGAACTCCCCAGATACTTGTAGACTTGGTGGAAGAAGAAAAACAAAAACACAAGCAGAACAAAGCCTCAGAACCGGTTGCCGATGTTGCCCTGGCTAGTTGTCCCGCTCTAACCAGCGCCCGGCATCCGTCAGATACATTTCGGGGTGAGTGCGTCGCGGAACGACATCCGTCGGATGCGGCGACGAACAACCGGCGCGTTTCAGTCGTTCAGCAGTCTCCGCACCGTGAGCATCGCTCGCCCGAACCGCGTTCGCCCTTCGCTCGTCTGTCGTCGGTCGTCGATAATACCGAATCGCAACGCAACGCAACGCAACGCAACGGATTGCAAGCATCGGTTGCCGTCGCCTTTTCTGGATACGAGATACGAGATACAAGATACGAGATACTCTGCACCAGCAAATCCAACAGATACGCGCGCGATCTCCCCCGAGTGTGTTCTGTGAACCGAAACTCCAGCAGGAAATAATAATAAATCGAAAATTTGGAATATATGTATAGATACCAAGTGCCTTAGATCTAGATCTATATCCTGCTTTGCTCAAATGCCCGAAACTTCAACGTTGAGTTCGGTATCAAAATAATAATATAAATAATATTGGAAAATATTCAATCCCCGATCCCGAAACCGAACCCATACCCAATCTCGAGTGTGCTTCGCCGAGTGTCCTGTCAGCCAAATATATGGTAATGGCAGAGATTGGTGGCCATTTGGCTCACCAGCTACCGTTGCACAATCACAATCACAATCACAACCACAATCAAACTGGATTACAGCCATCGCTGGTGATGAACCATCACCTGGATTTGGATTGTCATGGACACGATGTGATAAGTGAGTACCTACTAGGAGTATCTATCTATCCATCCATCTATCTATCATCAGGGGAGGGAAACTTAATACAGGCAAATATATATTGTCCCAAGAAAGAGAATTGAAAACAAAAGATTATAGAGGATCTATAGTTTAAAGAGATATATCCTTTGTATCTTTTAGATACTATTGTTTATGTTAAGCATCTCTGTTTTTGTTGCGCTCTGGGTAATATCATGTTTTCTGTTTCGTTTAGATGATTTAAAAGATTATAGAGGTATGTTTTAGGTTTGAAAAATGAAGAGTTTTTGGTAGTTAATATCTAAGAGAGTTTCCTGGAGTAATTCTTGCTCAATTAGGCTGAAAATGTACACACCTTATAAGTATATTTCTTCGAGATAGCAGTGGATAAATCTTCTTCCTTATCTACTTAATACCTCAGAGAACATTTCTTCGCTCTAAACCAAACCAAAGCTTATTTTTAAACATTAAAATTATCACAACAATACAATTTCTAATACAAAAAAGCCCTAAACTTCAACTTTAAACTATTTATTTTCCAAATTTCCATCCACAAATTAATGACATTAAATAGACCAAGCCAAAATGTTTTATCATTTACCGCTAATAAAGCTATTTAAAGCAGTTAATGACTTATTTATGGCCATTGTCGTAGTCCCCGAAAAAAATAAAAATAATATAAAATTGGACAAATTAAAGTCCCATTAAAACTGAGTGGAGCCACAGAGTAATCACTGAACTATAACTTTCTCAATATCAAAAAATAATTACAAAATGAAACACATTAAAAACCCGACCATAAAAAGAGCCCAGAGCCGTGTTAACAAATGTTTGCACCAAATTAAAGTTGTAAACGATTTTTGGTCAGCTTTGAAAAATCCAAAAAATGCTAAAGATATCAAAGATGGATGTGTCAAGAGTTAAAGATCAAGTCTTAACTTAATATTTAATTCAAACTCCAAAGATCTTGATCCAGGAGTTCAAGTTTATGTGTAATGAAGGTTGTTTGAATTATTTTTAAAACGCAAAAATCATTAAAAAAGGTTAGGCACGCGCTGAACTCTTACTTACCTTGAGATACATTTTTATTTTGCAAAGGTCCAAGGCGAAGTCTGAGAGAAAAAGCCTCCAATTAATTCCAACTGAAACATAAAGAAACGTAAACAATTAAAAATGAAAGCAAAATTAATAAACATAAATATTTCCTATAGAATAATGGGCCATAATTTCTATTTTATTAATTTGGAAGAGAGATTATCAACTTGATGAGAACGCTTTTGTAATGGCTTTGAGACCCCCCCCAGTCTTGAATGGCAATAACTTTTAAATAATAGCTGTATTTTATTTTAAGCACACTTTACACTTGCGTACTGTAGCAAGCCAATTAACAGTTGAATGACATTTTAATGCCGAGCAATTAAGCGCAGCGAAGCAATTTCACGAAATTAAACGCGATCAAAAATTTATCCCATGCGAGTGAGACGTTTTTCAGCTAGACAAATGTCTGTGACGTGTTTTTGTTAACCGAAAAATGCATTTTATTTTATTCATAAACCAAGAGTGTCATTAAAAAATGCGGGACAGCGGCAAATATATTTTATTCAAAATTTTATTTCGCTTGCTAAATTGTGACAAATGTTTTTTGTATTTTTCGACTGACAGTTGTGTCTAACCGCAGAACACAAAAACCAACAGCAGCAACAAAAATTAATGTATAAAAATATATAAGGAAAAATAGGGGGGAAAGAGTTGAAAATAGGAAAACATGAAAAATCATAATCATAAGCACACACACACACACACGCGGGTTCAAATTTAATTATGGATGAGCGACAAATGCAGATACATTTAGATACAAATTTATAACATTTAAATTGCATTCGTTTGTTGTAGGAAAATGTAATTGTAATTTCAATTCAAATTAGTTGTCGGGTCTGCTAAATATTTAATGGCTGCGCACAGATTTTAATTTGAAAACTTTGCCACAAAGTTTTTGCAGAAACTTTAAGATTGCCTTTTGCCTAGTTCCAAGTTGATATTTGAAATGAAAACAATTTTTGTAATTCTATTTTTGCGCTTTTATCTTTCATTTCTCCCCCTCTCTCTCTGCCTGTCCGAGCCGAGTTTTGTTTGTTTGTTGATTTTTTTTCTGTTTTTTTTTAGCGCTGTAAACATTTTAATGAGTTTTCCATGTCACACACAGACACACCACTCCCCGCCGCCCGTCCCGTCAACATGTCGCTGGCTAACTTCTCAAGTAGTCGTTAAATTAATTAAATATAGTAGGAACTCTGTGGAGCTTTTGTTTATTCTTCATCTTCACTTTTCTGTAGCCTATCTCCTGGCGTTGGACTAGTTTCTACTTTGCAGACCATAAAATTGTACAACTTTATGACAATTATTCGCGGCCATAAAAACCAAACGATTTTTTTGGGTTTTATAGTTTACCAATTAGCCAAAAAAAAGATTCCGATTGTGCTGTGTTTGCTCCCTAATCTAATTTATATTGATTCCATTTTGCTAATTTGCATAATCAAAAATACGAACAAAATATCGGCGAAAACAGAAAGTTAATTGTGAAAAATTGATTGGGCAAATGTTTAACCAATCCACACAACAAAGTTGAAATAATTTTGGGAATAATTTGTTAAGTGTCAATCGACGGCTTTATAAGGTTAAAAAGCTGAGAGAATGGCACCAAGTTTCGGTTTTGGGTTAACTAGAGATGCCCTCCGAGTGATAGATCACAGATCTCTTGAGGTTTATTTATAGAGTTTCAGTGAAAGGGAAAAAATAACAGAGTTAACGTAACATTGGCCATAAAATTAATTATATTACCATTCTAAACGGGCTTTGATCGCATTTTTTTTTATTGTTTTTGCTTAGTATTTTGATTAGTTTGTTTCGGACATGAAAGCATCGGTAGTTTCACTGGTTTAAGGTTTTTCAAATTGATTGAATATTTGTTTAAGTTGTCATCGCTTTAGTTTTTGTGTGTTTTTATTTGGGTTTATTTTATTTAGAGAATTTATTTATTTAATACAATGCCTTGTCGCTGAGGTAGTTAATCAGACTTTATCGGTTTAAGCAGATACAAAATGTATCTATTGTTTGTTTTTATTATTATGAAGATAATATATCATTTTAAAAGACACTTGAAATTGAAAGGAAAATTAAATAATTGATATATTTAGTTGCATAAAAGAAAGAAATTGATTTAATACTCTATGATCTTCTACTTTACCTCTATATTATTTAATTGAATTAAATGAAACCTAAGTTTTACATTTCTTTGAATCCCTTATAAACCAAACTATCTGAATTATTGTTAATTTCTTTCCATAAAACCCAAAAAAAAATACTTGGTACCAAAACAAGTTCAGCTTTGAATTTGAACAAATCTTTGCTTGAAAAAAAAAACAAAAAACTAAAAAACCAAAAAACTGACGTCACGAGAAAAAAAAGACCACACCCATTAGTGTGCCAATGGCAGACAGACGTTATCTATATTTTATGAGTTCCTATCCGAAAAAAAAAAATAAATTCCTGTTGTCTCCGGCGGACAATGTTTTTTGTTGTTTTATTTTCATTTTTCACCTTCCCGTTTCCGGTGAGCTGTAGAGTTTTATATCGGAATCCCCGCCGAGGATTCGAAGGATTCAAGGGGTGTGATAAAGTTATTTAGGCGCAATCCATAAATTCCCAAAAAACAGAACCCAAATGAAAAAGGCAGAGCCCAGGACTGGGGAGAACGTAAATCCCAAAAGCTTATCTGATTTTGCACTTCAGGCCCTGGCACTAGATCAATATGTTATGTTATGGTCGAGTTTCTGTTTGGATTTCGGTTTTTTAGATTTTATTTTATGTCAGTCTTACCTGGACACAGCTGGGCTGCGCCTGCGCCCTGTGACTCGAATCTCCTGTCTCCTGATTTCTCCTATCAAATATATTTGAATTTGTGGCCCAAACCCAGTTTAGAAGACATATACATACATGACTCCAGGCCAGGTACGGCTATATCTTTGCCCCTTTTTTCGCATTAATTAACAGCTCGCCGAGTTGAGAAATTAGGGAATTATGCCTGGAATTTCCGTTCAAAAACAAACAAAAAACAGCTTTATTGGGGGTCTGATTAGTCTGATTTGGCCAGAAAAAGAGTCACAGAATGATAATGAAGTTGGTTGATAATTGTGCGAAATCAAGTTTGTCTTGAGATCTAAGGTTTCTTAAGCATTTCCCATGGTTTTCTATATTTTTCAAATAACTTATTAAAATTCATTTCGTATTTAGTGTAATATTTGTTTAATTATATGCCAAATAACTTTGAATGTAAGATGATCTTAAAAATGAGTATCTTTTTATAGTAGTAATGAAAGATTAAGATTATATTATATTATAAAATATTTCGTATTGCTTTAAATTATTGTTTCACTAATTAAAGTACTTAACTCACTCTATAAATAGTTATTATTCGACCTAAAAAGCTTAAATAAATACAACTTTTAAATTTCTTTAAATTTTCTTACATAACTTGGTCTTAAAGTCTTCTTTTTATGTTCAATTTAAACCCTTCAAGTATCAATTTCAATGCAAAAACCTCGACTTTGCCTCGATTAAAGTAACTCTGCTCTTCAATTAAAGCCAAAAAAGCCTCCACTTTTGTGTTAATTTGGCTTAAAGCCGAAGCTCTCTAACCTAATTAATGCACTTCCAGATATTCCTTAACCCCTTGAGCCCCCTCGGAATGGAATTGGGCATATTAAAGCAGCCGCCAGTAGCCGCCTATTAAAGTGCAATTAAATGTTTTTTTTTAACTCTCCGCGTGTTCTGTATTTTTTTCTCTTTTTTGTTAAAGTTCATTCAAGGTGTCAGCAGCTTGTCAAGGTGAGAGGCGGCTACTGTTTGCCTTTGGACGGTTGGAGTAAAAAAGGAAAAACAAAATATTAAATTTCAACTGGGGAAATTGTGCGATGCCCCCCGCAAGGGAGACGGAAACCAGA